AGAGGGTGTAGCTTCCAATCCAGTTGAGTTCCAGTGACGCCTCCATGTGGTGACCAAGGGTGAAATCGACCATAGAATCCATTTCTTGAGCCATAATGGTTGATTTGTGAGTGTATATATGAGAAAAAAGGTGTAAAAAGTATGTAATTTGTAATAAAAGAAAAAACTGTAAAATTTTTAAATGGGCCAGATGGCTACCCTTAAGGTATACCACAACGTGCAAGGATACATAAGCTGGCCGAGTGAGAGCGATACAGTGGCATTTCAGATCGCTAGGACTCAGGAGCCAGGTCCATTAGCACCCTCATCAATGTGCATTCAAAATAAGAGCAAAATGCACGAAATTTTTTCGATAACACTGAGTGTCTATATCGAAATTATTTCGGAATCATTCCGAAGTCAAGCTCCGGAGTTGATTTCAAACCTACAGGATTCCGTAACTCTTTCGAAAGTATTTCGAAGAGATATCGAAAGGCCTTTGAAAGAGTTACGGAAACCGGTTCGCAACACGTTGCGAAATGTACCTGGACCAAGGTCCAGGACGTCCGCCCCTGCGGGCGCATATTTCGAAACATTTCCGAACGAACTTCGGAAATGTTTCGAACCCCAGCACCCGTAGTGTAGTAGCGATACCTTCAGAGGCGGGTGGTTTGTGGTATATGGTTAAACCTTTTTAATATGTATGGCCCAAAAATAACAATACCTTGCAAAACGTTTTGTAGCTTGGACCCCTCCAAAGCAATACCACCTCACCAAGCTTTTCAATGTGCCTGTTTATCTCTTCACGAGGGCATAGCCCCCATTTTTGGGGTTTGATGGGAGATTTACAGAAAAAAGGGTATTTTTCAAGTTTCAAAGGGGAGAAATGTCATGATTAAGCATTGTGGAGATTCTCAAGGAAAGGGTTTGAAAAATTAAAAACAGGAAAAAACAGGAATGAAAAGTCAATGTATGGAACAAAAGAAATGAAATCAAAGAAATAAAGGAGAAAAAATTGAAACTGCCTCCAATATTTTGAATCAATTCAGATCTGTTGTCCATACTTCCTTATTAGAGAGTTTGGAGCTCTACTGCCTGAACCATGGCTTCAGTTAGACAACTTCCTGCCTCCCTTTCCTACCAAAATCAGTTATTGTTTATACATAACTCCAAAGCTCATAAGATTTAAAAGCTCCTAAACAGAGGCAAGTTTCAGATCTCTCAGAAAGCAGAACCCAAATAACATATACTGTGTTTCACAACTGAGATTCCTCCCGGAAGCAACTTGGAGCTCAATGATTGAATATTTTTCCTTTCTTGGTTGATATGGTAAGTGTTATTATTCAAGTGTTTCAGCTCTCTCCTTTTCATTTTCTCATTATTAGCATATCTCATGGCATACTTTTTAGTCATTATTAGAATATGTTTATATTCAGTTTGTCACATATTTAGCTTGTTTTCTTTCACTATTTAAAACTTGATTTTGTTCATCCAGAAATACAAACTAATCAAGTCTTTCCCTCTTTGACTCTTTCACTCATCCATGAACAGTAAGCACCTCAGAAACCGCTAGCGGCTTCTGAGCTGACTATCCGTGTTTGAAAATAACAAGTGAAGATTTCCTGCAGTTTAACAGGCCAGAAAGATTTAATCTCTGCCATGAGGTTAATCGAAAAAACACAACACATTCAAATTGAATCTGAAAAAGACGTTCAAAATATAGTACTGAATTTGGCTTGCTATCAGCAGTTTCTTAATAAATTTTAACACGCGTCCTGCCGTAGTCTTCAGGGTTGCCGCAAATATTTGTTGGAGTTCATATTTTAATTATAAGTTTTCAGATACTTTGGGCGCATATAAGAAACACGATGTTTTGTTTCTGTTGGGCACCAATTTCGAACCAGCTTTGAAAACAGATTTCGAAGCTTTTGAATAGTCACTCCAAAATTTTATGGCTCGCCGCGAGAGAAAGTGAAGGAGCAATCCCAAATAGTTACATACTTCACTGTACATCTTGATACATCGTTTCGTTGAAATATACCTTTCTACTACAGCTCGCTTCTTCGGGGTTTGATTGGACTGAGGAAACTATGCTCCTCGCAGTGTGAGCATGCTGTAAGAGTTGAGTAGATTTGTTAATTCTTTCCTGTCCACCGAAGTGTAGGCCAAAGTAAATTCTTCACTTACAAACTCTGACATTTGCCGGATCAGTCGTCTTTGTCCAACGACAACTATATTCTTGACCGTTTGTATCCATGATTTCTGATTGTGAAGTGCCATGACATAAGTGATCTGGTGGAATCTTGATTGAAGCGGCTCTGAATTGATCTTGAGACACTGATTCGAAGAACTCACCTATGGCACCGCCTCGATTAGCCGCTTTATACCTAACAGCCAGTATTCTCGGAAGAAGTTCCTCAATCCCTAGCCGTGCGCATTCGTAAAAGTAGAGTTCTTTGGAGGCCACTAGGAGGTTCCGAGCGTAAAGGTTAGAATTTTCTTGATATTTCCTAATGCGGGGCATATGATACTGTTTGGTTAGTATTGAAGGGTAACTTACACGTTTTCCGGTCCGCTCCCACATAGCAGCTTTCCTCCTTACACCTGTACTGCCATTCGCCATAATTCGTGCACGCTATCAGCGAAGTGGGAATGCCGTCAGTTCAGAAGTCAGAAGAACCAACCCAGTGAAAATTAATGGAGGCTTACAGACAAAACCTTTCTCCATTGGGAACGTGTTGTAGTTGTTCCCGCATTGGATGTCGACCTTGGCCAGACGAACTTCAGGTTTCTTGTTTGGGGATCCGGCACCAACACCTTTCTTGGGAAGGTTGGGATGCCCTTGCGCATCAATGCTGGTGAGAAGGCGACTTAGAAGGGCTAGCGAACAAAGGAAGTGGCTTATCCGGAAGCTAAACATGATGAAAAGTGATTACTGTGGATGATTAGTGGAAATCGAGCGGTCCATTGGATACTGGAGTACATTATGTAGTCGGGCTCTGGACATCCGTGGCTCTGCCTAAGGGCTTCACAACCTCCTCGCCCTTGCAACAGGCTTGGGTATTCTTAATGTGTACACATTCACGGCGAACGCCACCACCCTCCAGGACGACGAGGGCGCTCCTTCGTGATGTACTTCACGGCGGGGCAAGTCCCGAGCTTTGTAACCGCACCTAGAGCCGAGAGCGGCCCCGGAAAGCTGGGTCTCAGGGACGCGTGTGGCGCTCCGCGGTGGATATTTATGTAGTCTGACATGAGTCGTCTGCACCACTCCGTCTCGTAGGAGGGAGGGACTTTGTTAAGTTAGTCGAATGTGTAGTTTTCCTTCTATCCATGCAATGGATCTTAGCTCTTGTGCAATCTACATATATCACAACACGCACATATTAGTATCACCCCGTGGCCAAGGCAAACAGATCAAGTCCCTGCAAGGCGCGACTTGCGCAGGAAGGAATTACGGCCAAGCTGCCGAATTTGGCACAAGAAGAAGGTGGATTGGGTCAGATCAACTTTCACCCTCTTGGTTTTGCCGCGTTCTGTGGAATAGAGTAGACTTGTATTACTTTGTTTCGATAATTTGTTTTAAAATATGAGGATTTTATTTTGCCTCCAGATCAAGTTGAAATGCTACCGGAATCTCGGGGGAAGAATTGTCAAGTAGGTACAGTTGGGATTATTTCTCAGAGTTATAAAAGAAAATAAGATTGTGAAACGGGTGATGAACCAGCACGTCTTTCAATTAGTAGGGCTAGAGATCTAATAAAAAGGACTACATTCACAAAGGGCTCTCTGCTACTGTTGCTATAAATTGGATGGAAATCAGTCCGAGAGACATATAATATGCATGCTCTGAGACCAAGGTGTTTTTGGAAAATAAATTCGAAGTCGTTTTTTCATTCGTTCCTCCATCGAAGGATGTCCGAATTTCTGCGGCATTTGAAAGCGTCGTTTGTTTTCGTCGGCTAAAATGCAAGAAATTCTAATTTAGGATCAGGTTTTAAACATGGATCGAGTGATGATATTAAAATGCAGCTCACCTAATGCTCAGGATCGCTTCAATTTCCCGAGCTCTGCTGGGGATCCTGCGAGAGCTGTTCTTTTTTCAGCACGATGACCGAGCCCGATACATTGGATGCTGAGCCTGAAGGTGTGGATCCCGATGATTTATCATTTGGGCCGCGCAACGCTCTCTCGGAAACAGAGTCACCCTTTGATGCATTGGGGTCCATCAGCACAATCTTTGGCTGAGGGGCTCCTTCTCCTTCTTCCGCTCTTTTGTGGTTCCTCAATACAATCGTTGAATCTTGTACGGATGATTGGGAAGCAGCGGTGTTTGCCGGTTGCTGCTGGCTTTTGAGCACAATCGAAGAATCAGAAACCGAGGGTCTTGGAGAAGCAGGTCCAGATCGCTTATGCTGCTTAAGCACACTTGTAGGATTGCGCACAGCTAAGTTGGAGGTGGGGGCCTGCGACATTCTACTGTCCTTCAGAACAATATCTGGCTGGCGTGCGTCGCTCCGCGGCAGAGCATCCTGTCCGTCTGATCTCTTGTGGTTCCTCAGCACGATGACTGAATCGCGAAATGAGTCCGACTTCGATTTGCTGCCTGCCGTTGCCGGACCGGATGCTGCTTGAGAGACCGATCTCTTATGATTCCTCAGGACAATGACCGAATCCCGAAACGAGTCCGACTTCGATTTACTACTTCCTGCCGCCGGACCGGATGCTGGTTGACCGACCGATCTCTTGTGATTCCTCAGCACAATCACTGAATCGCGGAAAGAGTCCGACTTTGATACGGGTTTTCCCGATGCCAGCGATTCGCCGCGTTTGAGATGAGAGTTGCCCGGGCCGGTTTTAACGCCATACTCCCAGCCCATCTACATATACAAGCCGCGAGCAAATCGGTGATAGAATCCCAACATGTGAATCCGCAACGTGAGATTTGGGTCCGTTCTCATCATCTTGGAATCCAAGGAAGAATCAACGTACCTCTGACCCTAAGCCCATCATCATCCGCCGAGTTTTCCGGCGGCTCTGTGATTCGGGAACGCGGCGAAATTCGCTATCGTCAAATACGCTGCGCCATTATGACAATTAGCTTTGAGACAAGAAGAACAAAATAAATATAGAAAACAGTGTGGAAAACGGCCCACCGTGCCCCGGCAACACGCGTAGCTGATCCTGAACTAATGCAGATGTGAACCAGAATCAAGGTCACACCAAATAGCTGCATCCAATTGGTCATCTTCTGATTTTAGCTTGGCTTTTCGTTTGATTTTTCTATTCTGGAAAGCGAAGGAGTGACTTGATAACAGCAAAGAAGATTGCTTTTCTCTCCTAAATAGGCTTTGCACACGGATAGGCGTTCAAGACAGACAATGGTGAAATGACTTCGGAAACTGGAGGTATACTAGCTAGAAACACTCAATGCTGTTGAGGAATGAACTGGTCGCTGATGGCAAGCGGACCAAGACGATCATTTTATAGGCGTTTTGCTTGTGGGTGAGTCAACCCCATCGAAAGATCAAGCCGTCGATCAGCAACTTTCAGCGTGCATCACGTCTTCCCAACGCAGAAAGGTTTGCAGAGAGTACATGTCAAAAGGTCAGTCACAAAATGCGATAAAATTTGTGGGTTGGTGGAGGATCGAGACTCATAGTGCAAGCTCAATAATTCCAAGATACAGGAGTGAACAAACGTATGGGGAGAGGGGACTGTGTTCCTCCTACCAGAGCCAACGAAACAGATGTCAGGTAAACTTGACGATCGTTTCAGCAGCCGTCTTAGTGGAAGCTGTTGCCGTTAAGTAATCCGCAACTCAATCTTTCAGAAACCCAATCTTTTGTCGTTAGTCACGGTAGTTATGATCCCAAAACTGTACGCATGTAATAGGAGCCAGTGCGATAGCAATGACTACGGGTACATAGAGCTTGAAATCTTTGACTGGCGTTACCCCTTGCACCGCCAACAGCCATAGTGCCTGCAGCTCACGGTGGGACGTTCGTCAGGCAGATCTCGAATAGAAAATCTGCGAAATTGGCCAGGTTTTTCAAAATATTATACTCTGCAAACGCAAAGCAGTGCCTCCGCCTTGGAAAAGCGGCGCATCGCAGCCTCTACCGGCGGGAATCAGGAGTCGTTGTGGAAAAATTCGGAGATCGGTTTGATTTATTCCACTGGCAACATGCACTTTCGAGTATCCTGTTTTGGGTTCAGGGGCGTCGATCACCAGCGCTCACCAGATTTCCGGAGGACACCTATTTACCGGAACCCGGTCAACACTCATGAAAGGAACGATCGATTGAGCTTGTTTTGTCGTTTTGAATCAACCGATTATGTATATCCGAAAATTCTAGCATATGTTATCATTCAGTTTTCGTGGGCTACACTGAGCTGATTTTTTTGCTCTTGGCAAGATCCAAAAAAGAGGGAGTAGTCACTATCTTTACCTACTTGGTAAATCAAAGCTTGCTTGTGTTCTGATAATAAATCATCACGCCGTAAGCTCCATTTGCTCCATTTCCACCACCTTGAGTGAAAATGATTCCATCTTACTTGGTCATAGAAGTTGATGGCCTGCTGAACTCCGGCGATGTCACTCCAGATACCAAAGCAGTAACCTCCAAAAGAAAACACGAGAGGTAAAGAGGACAGGAAAAGACCAAGTAGCGGACTTGTCGATCAATCAAGAATAGCTTTGATAATCATGATGTTTCGAAATTGGTGTCGTAATCACATCCGGCGACAGCACTGCGCCGATGATGGGCCCTCTCGCACTACGCATGATCACGCTCTTTTCTGATCTCATGTTGTCCAATCTAAAACAACACGGGCTCATGGTACATTTTACAAATCAAATTTTCAAGAGACACCCGCCATGATGCCATGACTCGTAGGCCGTGGGTAGATCTCAACTCATCAAGCGTGACCTGACAGACACACTGACGGAAAAGAAACACTCTTACAAAAACGAAACGCATCGCAAGTCAGCTTTGCCACGTTATGGTAATAAACTTTCGTCGGAAATCTCGGTTTCATTGCCACTGGCTGGCCTAATTAAAACAGCTAAATATATGCGAATACCTCGCGGTTTAGCTCTGGAACGCTACGGCATTCGTAACTAACCTCGCTGAGCAGAGGTAAATGACCGGAGTAGCCGTCCTGATGGTAACAGTGTCGATTTTGAATTAAAAATTTATTAAAAAGACAACACAAACCTATGAAAAGTAAATCAAGAAACTGCTCCAGTCAACATGCAGAAAGAAACCCTCATCAAAGTTGGGTTGTTAATGATATTTCACCCAAACTACTATTGCTCCAGCCAAACTTCATTGCACAGTGACTTCAGAAATTTTTCACTTGGAATACATTGCAGTGACAACACAAGACACATACATCTGGAGTAAGCTGCATGTCAGCTGCTACCAGTTTGGTGAGATTGATTCATAGTCAATACATGATAAAGCCCAACATATGTATCATATCAGTTACAGCCTTGATGTGATGTTACAGTTGAGCTTGTGAGTTTATCTTTTCTCTTGAGAAAATTATCATTTTTTGTCTCATTCACATTTTCACCTCTTTCCTAATTGGCCAAGCCCAACAACCACACCTGTTGACCAAGCAAAAAGGTAAGATCATTGCCATGTATTCTACTTACAGTCTTAATGACCAGGAGGGAGCACCCTCCAGTGGGCCATCAAGATGTATGGTTTGTTCAAGTGCATCTTGCACCTAGACACATGTCCAAGTGCTAATGGGACTTGAATTGTCTTTTTTTTCACAAATTTCAGAAAAATGGAATCAAAGTTTTTTTGAGATCATTCTTTGAAAACTCTTTTGCATCACTGACATACCAAGCCTTGTTGGTGGCCCGTGGGTGTGATGTCTGAAATTAAAAATGAGGTGTGTTGGAATTTTGTTGCTTCCTGCTCTCTCACTTGCACTCTCTGGTGCTCTTATTCCTTTCCACTAGAAACATGTTCAAATTCACCAAGAAAATGAATTCTTTATGTTAGCTGAGGAAATCCTTATTTTTTTACTGCAATGAAGGGTTGGTGATATGTGAGATAATGTCTGTGACATGTTGCAACATGTTGGGAACATGTTGTGAAATGTTGGTTGTTGTGAAGTATCACTGACCACCAGGAAATATCTGAGGGCAGTAGGTGTCAGTTGACATGAAGTGACATATGTTACAACTCCATTGTTACTCTGGTGCTTGTCTGCTCAAATAAAAATGGGCCCTTTGTGGTCATCAGGGAGTCCCAACCCTTTGACTTTGAAGTAACACTGGAATCAAGGCAGGAGTTAGCTTCATGTCACCTGACATGCACTGCCCTCAAATATTTCATGGTGGACATGTGAAATATCTGGAGTGTGATGTGAAATGTTTGCAACAAGCTGTGAAAAATCTTTGACATGTTTGAAAATGTTTGTAACATGTTGGCAATGTGATGCACATTTCACAACATCTCACAAACATTTTGCAACATGTTACAGACATTTCACACATGTTCCAAGCAATTCCCAACATGTCACAAACATTTCACAAAGTGTCACAAGCCTGTCATAGACTAGTCACACACCTGTCACCACATGTCACAGAAAACTCTTATGATCCTATCTCAGCACCTACTACTTGTCTCTCTTTGATATTGTCTATCTCAGTCTGTCTGTCTTGTTACCCATCAAACACACGCAACTCAGGTTGTGGCATTCTTTTCCTCTCTATCTCTTAAAAACATCTTATTTTCCTTTTTTTCTGAAGACTTGTTTTCTTCTTGAGTTCTGGATTGAGTATCAATCATAATTCCTGTTTAAATTTCATCAAGGTGTCAAGACTTTGAAGTCAGCCATGCCAAAGGGGTTGTATTGGTTCCAAAACTCACAACAAGGTCATCCAGGACCACCAATACATTGCCCCTTTGTTAGTATTGCTAATATTAGTAAAAGGGAGTGTCATGACAGTTTCAGATGTCAAAAACCAACCCTGGATTTTTGAGAGTGTGCAAATCTTTCAGCCAAAGAAATTAGATTTTTTTTATTTCCATTTTTTGTAGCCCTTTTGAGCCTACACAATGATGAAAGATTACCTCAGGGTATTGCATAAAGACTCAAATTAACAGGTGCTACAGGTGCTTTGTAAGTATAATACTCAATGATAACTGCCACACCTACCTGGATTTACCATGGCCTAACATATGTAAAGGATGTTGAACTTTTGGTCTGACGGGTTCTTTTTCACCCCGCTGCGGCGCATGTGCTCACCAGCACGTGGTGAGATGCACAAGGTTTGAAACCTAGTTCTGCATCGGCTGTTGTATTTAGAGTTCCTCCATAGGCATGAGGACCCAGGAGACCCCCTATAGAGGTGCCTAACCAAAATGTAGGAATGGGTTTTCACCCTACACAACCACTTTGACTGAACATCAGATGTGCTATCTGGATAGTTGCCACATCAGGACATGTACATCCTCAATGTGCATCCTGTACATGTATTCTTTAGTGGCTAACGTCAACGAGTGAGTTTTAATAACTGAAAAACTAAAAAAAAATGTAGGAATTTTTTTTCAGATTTTTTTTAGTTTTTAGTTTTTTGCTTCTCAAGGCTCACTGGTGAAGATTTACAACTAAAAAGTTCATGGGCTGGATTCACCTTCAGTATGTACATGTCCTGATGTGGCAATTATCCAGATAGCACATCTGATGTTCAGTCAAAGTGGTTGTATACATTTTGACGTTTTGGTTAGGCACCTCTATAGGGGGTCTCCTGGGTCCTTAGGCATGTTGTCATCTCTTTTCCTCATCCGATCTTTCTAGTTTTTTCTTTTCTTGTTGCCTGAGTCTCACCTCGCCGCTGTCTCTTCTCTGCTCGACCCAGGTTTGCCTTCAGTCTCTTGTGTCGTTAGTTCACGCTCCTCGTGCCCTAACATCTCTGGTTTGGAAACCAAAGGTTCGCCTTCAGTCTCTTGTGTCGTTAGTTCACGCTCCTCGTGCCCTAACATCTCTGGTTTGGACACCAAAGATTTTGAGTTCTTTAAAGGAAAAGGTGAGCAGATGTAATGTTAACACTAGTCACTGAGTAAAACACATTCTTTTGGCATAAAAATGAGTAGACTTCTTGGGTTTTTATTGGTTGGAGTAAAACAGATATACAATAAAATACAATACAACAAGTGATCATAAGAAGCACAGAACAGGCGGTAGAATGGGCCAAGTAGACTTTTCGAGAATGTAACAATATGTAACAATGGTTATGACCGATTATGGTGAATCGTTTTGAGGTTCTTGGCAAGGTTGAAGCGGGAGATCCCGCCGGATTTGGGGATGATGAATAGGAAGATGAGGAGGAAGTTGACGAGACAATAGATCCCGAAGACCTTCAAGGATTGATAACTCTGTTCGAAGTTAGTCTTGAATCGGTCAGATAAAAATTCATCCCCTGTCGAGTATCCACAGTATCCACAACTCTGCGTGGTTTGAGCTTGTTCACTAATGTCGATCGCGCTCATCAAGTATCCGCTGTGGGCTCGGATAAACTCCCGAGAGTATTCCTCACAACTTCATTTCCGAACACCAACAAAAAAAAAAAACCAGCTCAGTATACATACATTTCATTCTCCTGGGTAGATCACAAAATTCTACCCGGTTTGCGCGATCAAATGACGCTACTTACCTGGTGGAATTGGGTGCCAGGAATTGGACTGATTCACCGGGTTGACAGGTGACCATTTGGCCATGTAGGACCATGGAAAGTACCGACTTGACGTACCATTGGAACGGTGAAACTTGAAAGAGAAAAAAAAAGAATCAACCAACCGTGTGATCTCTTTTAAGATATGTCATTTGTGTAAAACAGACGAGTCTGAGGGAGAAAAATCAACAACCTACCCCAATACATCCACCTCCAATATTTCGGCATTTGATCATATGGTCTGTGTTGGTGTAATGACCATCCCAGTTTCGCAGACTCAGTACAAGCTTGGACGTGGTACTCTGGTCAGTTCAGAGTTGAGAACCAACTCACAGTAAACTGCCGTTAAAAGCTTCCATGGATACCAAAAAGAATGGTAAAAGATTAGCCACGATGCCGATCGTTGGAGCTAACGCAGCGATCCAAATCGCCCATGTCATCTGTATATATGACAATCAATCAATTCAGAAAACCGGAAAATTCCTAGTGGATTAGGTTTTATAGGACCAGGATTATTAGGTGACTACGGCTGAGTCGCCCACAAGTACACAGGAATGAAAACGAGGCACTGACCTGGAAGAAAAAGAACAATTGCACGGCCAGAAGACCTGTTTTTTTTGTTTAATGGTGATTATAGTGATCATAGTGATCAATTGAATTCTAATGATGAGTCTAGAGCTTCCAGTGAATGAGATAGCCTCGCCAATTACGACTCACTAAAACCAATCGATTCTAATTCGATTCTGAAGCCAACTGGATTGAAACCCACCCCCCACCCCGAAAAACAATGTTAAAATAAGGAGCGACCGAACCGACAATCAATAAAAAGATCTTACGACAGAAGAACCAAATCGTCCAAAAGATCAATCCAGAGAGGATGCTATAAGGCAACTCGGCAAGGAAGAAGCCGATGACCAGACTGATTTCGCGATATGAGCCCGAGAGCTTCTCGCGGGTTTCATAGATCGACTTAAACTGAAACCATTTGGCGATCAATTGGTTCATGAAAACCGGGGGAAGGAAGAGGATCAAGAAGACGCTGAAGACTTGGTTTTGAAGGCCCATCAAGCTTGTCTTTCTGGTGCTGTCCATCAAAACCGAAAGAGGTCGAGCGGTCGAAAATGATGAAGATGATGAAGCTTGCTGGAAGAAACTTAATCCGATCAAGACTGAAACCGCGGTCGCGGTGAAGATTTGAGTGAATCCAAACGAACTATCTCGCCAAAAGTGTCTCGAAAATCGCTTGGTAAGCTCCTTGATTTCCGTGTATATCACTCCTCCTCTTTGGTTGTTGAAAATCGATTGGTCGAGGCTGAATGCCTCTGAATTTAATTGCTCAATTCTCTCCACCGTCGCTTGATGCTCAGAAGACGAGCGCCATTCGGACAGCACAACTCCATCAATAATCCGATCTTGTTCTTCATGTGATTTTCTCATTGAGTCGATCAAATATTCTGCAGGATGTTCGATGGATGTGTATTGTCGAGAAGATTGGGCTTCGAAGTAAGCCACTGCCCGATCTCGGGGGCCAAAATAGGCCAGATTGCCGCCCTTCTGCAGGAGGATCAGTCGGTCGAAGCTCTCGAATATTTCCACTGAAGGTTGATGCACGGTGACGACGACGGTCAGGTTGAATTGGGAGGCCAGTCTGTGGAGGAGATGGATGATATGCGTTGCGGATTGAGAGTCCATCCCACTAACGGGTTCGTCCAAGCACAAAATCTTGGGTCGGGCCACAAGTTCGACGGCGATACTGAGTTTCTTGCGATCTTCTAAACATAATCCCGCACTGGGGGTCCCAATTATAGCATCCTCCAGCTCTTTCAGGCCGAGCCATCCGATGATCCGGTCCACATCCGCCAGCTTGGCCCATCGAGGGATTGATTTGGGTTGTCTTAAGAGAGCAGACAACTCCAGGGCCTCTCGGACCGTCGCGTATTCATCTAGAACACAATGCGTATAACATCAACATCAGGTTGGGTCTCATAAAAGTTTAACAGAAGAGACCTGATGCGTACCATGACAGTCTGTTTGTTCAACATATCCAATCGATCGATAGCTGTCAGCGGTTGGTAGCCTGCCATCAAGCAATAACTCTCCGGACATGTGAGCATAACTGGCTCGTCCGGCCAAGGCGTTTAACAGAGTGGTCTTCCCCGATCCGGATTCTCCCATGCTTTGAGCGCAATAAGAATGCGGTGAAAATCAGTAAAAGTTACCTAGTGGGCGCAGGTGACACAGTACATTGCTCCAGATCATAACTCACAGTGCGGTCAATTCACCTGGTTGGAAGTAACCGGTGACTTCATTTAAAAGAATTCGTGGTTGAATTCGGTCTTTGACACACAATTTCAGCTCCCTGAACGTCAACACTGCTGATTCAAACTGGGCTGGACCCGAGGGTTCTTCATCCGGAGAGCAAACCTTGTTCGCAAGTTGCATTCTTTCGCTAAGTGTTTGTCGATCGACCACGATGCCCTCTTCTGTGCTTTCGCCATCTCGTTGGAGCGTCTTCTTCATCCATCGCAGCCTCTTCCTAACCGAAGCTGAATTTCTGAACAGTCTGGTTGATCCGAACTTGGTGAAACAGAGGTATTCTGTGAAAAATACACTGAGCACTAAGATTATCACACTCGAGCCGATGATCATGCCCAAATTATACCACAGATGACGGTACTCGAATCCGTATGATTGAAATAAATAATCGTCTCCTGATACTACCAAGGAATTGGGCCTGGAGCCCAGTGTTGAACATGTTTGGTAGGTGGGATCAGTGTAGGATGGCCCACGAGGTACGATGTGCTGAGGAGAACATGAAAGCTCTAAGCCGTGGAACTCGTTTGAAAGTACCGCCTGAATAGATTCATAAATTAATTCTCTGATCCACTTTTGGAATTTACGTGGAAGATGCTGCCGAAATGATTCTTACATCAAATGCATGGGAGATGGGATCCAGGTAATACCGGATCCACTTGAGCTTTGATCCCATTGAAGGTGTAGGGATGAAGTATCCTCCAAAGCTGAATAACATGAACGTGGAATTTCAATCAAACAACGCTCAGGGTATTCAATAGCATAAAAAAACTGGAAAGGACTGAACACATACATAACAAATAGATTAAGCACTACTCCACAGTATCTCATGGCTTCATCAAATGTGGATGACACTGCGGCAAGCATCCTAAATACTGCTGTTAGGTTAATCGCTGTTGCATCGACTAATGGATAGCATATCACACATCAGCATTGTAGCAAAGCAGGTGAAAGGGGCCATTCTGAAATCAACAAACCCAGTAGTATATAAATTCCAAAGCGAACAGGATCTCTTTGCAATCCAGCAAGTCCATAAGTGATACTAGCAAACATCAACACTTGAGCAGTGATCAACGGTATGTCGCCTAACGTTCGTGCAAGCGCCAGGGCACCGGGGGAGTAAAGCCCGAATTTTCCATGTCTCTGAGTGATCTGTCTGCCCATCAGAGTGTTACCCAATTCGGAAAGCTGGAGGTATCCATTGAACAAGACCGAGAGGAACAGGACCGAGCCTCTCGAAAAAGCTGCCTCAGTCGTCTTGGGTAGCTGATAGAATAACGTTCCGATGATCACGGATAATACTAAGTTGATCATTGTCTTGGTGATGTATGGCCTGAGATCGGCTCTAATCAAGGCATATTGGCGTGAAGTGAGATAAGCTAGTTGTCGGAAGTAATTGCTCGTCCAAGGCGACCTTGCCCGGACAAAAGCATCTTTTTCGGCAGGCACCGAGTAGATGATGTGTTGGGCAGCTCCTGACGATGGGTAGCGACTGTCATACTGTATCATTTCTAGATTGAGATTGAAGAAGTGCTTTGAGCGTCTGAAAGCGGCAATAAACTCGGCTGGGGTCTGAGGCACCTCATGAGCAGCCTCTGAGCGGGCCTTGGCTGTCGAAGGGTCGGTCACTGAGCAGAGAAAGTCCGCGATCGGCTGGTTTGGAGAATGTAGAAATCCGAGCTCTTGGAAGTATTGGACGGCCTCGGAAGTCGGTCCGAAGTAAATCTGATGACCCTCGTGGAGTACGGAGACCTTGTCAAAGAGATTATAGAGGCCATCGCTGGCCTGTCTCAGCCCGATGGCCGCACTGGTTCGGTCGACCTTGCACCACTCTTTGAGGGACTTGACGAGGTGGTAAGAATTGGCTGAATCGAGACCTGCGGTGGCATTATCGAGGCAAATGACCGCACATCGTGTCAAAAGGCCTTCGATGATGCTCACTCGTCTGCGTTCCCCGCCGCTGACTCCTCGGATGGCCTCTGAGCCGATGTAAGTCTCTAGGGTGGTTGATGATAATCCGAAGACCTTGGACCAATTCAGAACCTCTGATCTTGCCCATTCGGCGCGACTCCTCCAATGCGGTCTAGATCTTGGCGTTCGACATTTTGCGGCAAGACCCAAGGTATTTTGGACATTCAGAGATGGCAAGTGTTCGTCATATTCCTCGATCATCGTGACCAGCGGTTTCAGGCCTAGAGATTCGAGACGCTCGCTCGGCAGTGACCCAAAGTCGAGATGCCCGGTCACTGCCGAGAAGCTCTCATGGTTGAGTGAGATGGCGCGTAGGAGGGATGTCATCCCACCCCTGGGTCGGGCAAGAACCAGCAGTAACTCGGACTGATTGATTATCCCATCGATGTTGCTGAGGATGGGGATCTGAGCCTGATTCCCAGATGGCTGGCGGTCATTTGATTTCGAGCTCCATAGACTACTGCTGGATAACACCCAAAGTTTGTGGACCAATACCAATGGCCTAATGAGGCTACGATAGATTGCCCAAGGCAAACTCTCGACAATCTCATGATCTATCTTAGAGCTGAAGACCGAAAGGTCCCTATACCTGATCGGTAGACCTTGGCATTTAAGACCAGAGTCTTCGAGTTGGGTCAACCGATTGAGAAGAAATTGGGTGCAGACAGTTTGCTGAGATGGATCGGTCAAGCCCTGAGGGCTAGACTGGTGCCCCTCCAGAGTGACACTGGTGTTCGAGTGAGCCCCTGATAGATTAACTTGAGAGGGACGTTGTGGTCTGTTGGTGAGAAGCTCATGGTCACAGTGATGTGCCTCCTGTTGATGCTCTTGGGTTGATGTGGTAGCAGGCTGCTGAGTAGGTAAAGGCTGAGGCGAGGACAAGAGGGTGGAGGCCATCGACTTCAATGTGGTGCTCGGCAAGGAAGGAGTTGGGACACTGGGCTGGCCAATGGGAAACAAGCGGAATACACAAATATGCACAAGCTCTTGGCATCTGAAATGGAGCCTTCGGGGACTCCCCGCGGGGATCGAGGCTCTCCACCGGGCTAATGCTAGCAACAGCCCACAAACATGGCGCAAACCGCATTGTCCCTTTTCTTCTTTCAAAAGGGCCAAGGAAAATTGTATGAAGTCATTCATACCAAGATCTACCACAAAGACCATGGTGCTTAAGTGGGTGGGGTGCATCATTGGAGTGGCTCTCCTCAATGCTTGGTGGTTTTTGCTAAGGCAGGACGTCTCAGGAGGGACCACAATTTGGAAAAGAAAATGGGAAATTATGTTGGCTTCATCTGCAAATAAATCCTCAAGCTCTCCAGAATCTCAAATAGCAAACCAAAATCCAGCATCAGTACAATACATACACCTGAAGCTCTCCAAGAGCCTACTAGTCCACTTGCTATTGTCTTCCTCCAACCTCAAAATCTAACTGCAGTGCAACAAGTAATCAAGTTGAGGGAAGAGCAAAAGCAGTTAATTCAACAGTGGAGAAATTCATCTGCTGGGAATTCTTGTTTGAATTGAGCCTTCTTATCACACTCTATTGACTGGACAATTCCTGTTAACATTGCCTCATCAATACACAACAAAAAGAATGGACTCATGAAACTGATTTGACACCCAGAGTCAGACCATCATATACACCTTCATCCATCAACCCAAGACCACAGAAAATACTCTGGGACCCTCCACCTCCTAATGTCAATGTATCCTCAATGAAAACAGCTGATGTCAACAGGCAAACATCTGTTTCTTACCAACAGCACCAGAAGGCTGCTCAAAATCAACACTCACAGTTCACATGTTTCAAACTCTAATTACCTCAAATGCCATCCTTCATTTGGGTCTGGTTCAGTCATTGCCAGCCAAAGAGTTGACAAGGTCAGAGAAAAGTTGAAAAGTATGGTCCTAACCTCTCAAGATTTTACAAGTCCATCTGCTTGAACATCAATAAATCAAGTCTGCTCCGATTTGCAGTGGGTTTTTCCTCAAAATGAAGATGTCACTAAAATGGCACAAGATCCCCCCCAAAAAACCATGAATGGTCAACAGGAAACAACATGTACAACCCATGTTGCGGAGTTTCAACAGCCATTCTCAATTGCCAAGGTCAACAACTCTCAACTGCCTGATCTGAACCTTGCAATCAAGAAAACCCAATGCAACCCAACATTACCACCAAGATTAGGTAGTGTTCCGCAAACCAGGCAGCCAGCTGCTCTGGACATCCACCATACCAATATAGCCCCCTCAGATTTCAGATCAGCAAATATGATTCCTATATGTAACAATCCTAAATAATCTAGAAACCAGCACCAAGAGATAGCATGAATGAAAATATATGCAGCACTGGTAATCAGAGTACTCCATGTCTCTCCTCCAAGGTTCCTGATCCTCAATCACCCAAACCCCAGCTTTCACCTTCCAGCTTGACATGTCCTCATGTTAGGCGGTCTCATTTATGCATAACAGTTGTATTAATTTATTATTGCATAGAGTAGTGATAGTAGCATTTTTGTCCGGAGTTGTAACCTAGTTGAATAGTTATAAAACCAGTCCTACTTTGTTGTTTTCCGGTTCTCTAACCATTCTCAAAGTTTCAACTCACAAACTCATTTGCTCACATCTCGACTCACCTTTCAGGTTTGTCTTGTCGTGCTCTCGTTGTCACCGCTCTAAGTAGCTTGTGTCTAACTTGTGCATCCTCATCAAAGACTTTACTGTCTAATACCTCAACAGTTATCTCACCAATGCCATGGCATTGCATCAGAAGGTGGTCCAGGAATCCCATCCAAGCATCAATTGTTTGAGACCTTCCGTGACTCCCTATCTGATTGCCAGGCGCTCCAGTTCAATCTGGAGGACCAAAAACAACGCTCAGATCAACTGATAAACCTCCTCCAGCAGTCATCAGGTGTGTTTGAGAAGATGCCCGAGGACTGGATACATTACCAGATCTCCAGAGGGACGTGATATCTGATTACTTGAAAGTAGGGTTGAAAGCATGGAAGACAGGACCAGGATGAATGATTCCTCCTTGGACAGTGATCAAGACACCTACTTGGCTCCAGATAGAACAAACAAAACAAAAAACTGAATCAACAATTCACCCAGCATGATCCTCTTCAAATCCCCACAAGTGAGGATCTCAAAGGTTAGCAACCACTTAAATTCTAATCTAGTTCTGATCTAGTTCTGAAACTTAATATGATTGATTCATTCATTTTAGGGATGATTCAAGCAGGAATCAGAGGCTGTCACCGGACTAGCTAGCAGAAGCCCAGCCTCTGTGATTGATAGATAACTGTGGAGGAGAGGGAGATTCCTATCAGGCTACATAGAGCTGCCAGACAAGGAATATCCCTCTCACCAATTTTGCTCAAGACCAGAGGGAACTACATAGCTGAAGAGTCTCACAATGATCTTGCTTTCAAACATACAGCAATGCTCTACAAAAAAAAAAAAACATCCCTGGCCTTCCATAACCAAACATTTTTTTTTCCCAAACAAATCTCAGGCCCCATTTATAAACGATATTTTGAAAACGTTTTGAAAATGTTTTGAAACACTTTTGAAATGTTTTTTTTAACTTAAAATAAAGCTTTTTGTAGTTCAAATACTGTTCAAAATATTTTCAAAAGCTGGGAGTAGTTATAAACCCAGTCGTACAATTGTGGTAATGAAAAAATTTGCCTTGCTTGTATTGAGTCCACATGCGGAGTCCACTCCTTGACAAGAGGCTGCATGGATCTCAACGACGATGACTCTCTTCTCCAAGGAGTAGCTCTCTGGCACCTTCTCTTTGTTCAACGATCTCATGAGCGCAATAGGTTTATATTCAAGCGGGACGTGAGGTGTTCAAGCTTCCGGATCGCTGGGAACCATGGAAAGACGAACGAATACCTGTGGCCAGGTTTGTCAAGCTCTTCCGTATGTCTCTGGCCAACTTCAACTCTTTCTCATGGGACGATCTACAGCAAGACCCACTTGGACTTGGCAAACCTTTGACTGTGGAAGCCTCAAGTTGCCGTTGGTCTTGACCATCTGGGGCTAGCTATGTAACGATCAGACAGTTTTCAACCGTCCTCTTTCAAAAGTTGTATGATCAAGGAGATAAATTTTCTGATTGCTCAAAACTCCTCGTTGAGGACTTTTGAAGCGCTTTTGAAAAAGAAAAAAGTTCAAATCTATAGCCAACTTTGAACTTCAAAATTCTTTCAAAAGTTTTTCAAAATAATTTCAAAATACTGTTTATAAATGGGGCCTCAGTCTTGTTGCACATTTTCCCTTGCTATCTTTGTCCCTCATGATTTTTAATCCGTTGTTTATTTCAAACAAAATAGATACCAGTTTGTTTTTTGTTTTCCTTAGAAAGCTTTAGATTTTTTCTGTTAATTATGTTTTGTACTCTTGTTGTATGTATATGTATCAGTTCATCCCTATAAGGAGATTTGTGTTGACTTTGTGATCCTTGCTGAGTTTGATTGACGATGTTTCAGTGACTTGAGCAGGGTCAGTTGTTTATGTACCCAAATGGATACACTAATTGTTTTTTTTTGTGTGTGTGTCGATCTCTGGATCAAGGTGAAACTATATGTAGATAAAGTTCGCCCCGGTACGCGTTGCAGACTAGAGGTAACTTTGGGACACCATGAAACAGCTGAATGTGGCCTTGTTTTCAGGTGAATATTCTCTTTGGGTTGGATGGTTTTCGATGGCCGGAGTTCGCTGGAGGATCGACTAGGGCTGGCACCCGACCACCGCGGGTTTCGGACATACCCGAGGTCCGACCCTGCGGGGACGGTGGTCGGGTCGGTGCTCTTCAAAAAGGAAAAAGAAACAATCCTGCGGGTACGGAGGCCGTTCCGACTTCGGACTTCAGTCGGGTATCCGCAGTCAAAAACCACAAACTGGATTACCAGCTGGCCCGATTCCGGGAGTAGACAAGTTTGTTGTTGTTGTTGTTTTTCCTTTTTTTTTTCTTAATGCAAGTTCTGGCACAAGGAGACGCGAAGCGAACAAACGGTCGAAGTAGATTACATATTTATATTGTTAAACGGTTGTAGTCGGATGAAAGTGGATCGTTATGTAGTGGTGTGTATAATTCAGTATGTACAACCCACAAATTGAAAGTATGATGAAAAAAAAAATAAAAGGTAAGGTTCATGGAATTTCAGTGGGGAAGTTAGCGTCCATTGGATTCGATTGAGTCTAACATGGTGAAATCCAATGCTGTATACCATTGCTTCAGACATAGCAGGTGTTCGATAGAAGTTGAATCCAAGCTGTGTCTTTGTGTGCCGATGACTGCCTTTGACCTGGAAAATACTCGCTCGGATGCGGCACTTGTTGCAGGCATTCCAAGATAGCATCGCGCCATAGCAGCAAGTGATGGATATCGGGTTGTTCGAGAGCTCCAATACTGTAGGATGTTGGTATCCATCTTCTCGTGTGATTCACGCATATACTGTTGAATCTCCATTGTCACATTGTTGGCGGGTTCGCTTTCTCCAAAAACATCCGACTCAATGGATGATTGAGCTTTTGGTGATTGACTAACAGGTGTAGCACCGAACGATTGGTCAAAGAGCTGTGCTTCAACCTGAAACTTTTCAAAGGCACTCTCGGGTGTGATTGATAGTCCAAGATCTGTTAACAATTGCCGATTGTTCTCAAGGTTTCTAATCTTGATTCGAGGGTCGAGAATCATCGAACATATTGGGGCAGTTTTTCCTAAGGCAATGACAAGATACTTGACCAGTTTCTTAACCATTGCCTCAGTTGCAGGTATCAATTGAGCTGCATCGTATTTAGTTTGAGCCTCTCGGAATTTCTTGATCAGTGAAATGTAAAGCGGGAGGGCAATGTTGAGTGTTGGATATTCTGATCGGCATATCATCAGAGTAACCTCATAGAGAGGTTTGAGAAACTCCATCATCTGTACGACCTTCTCCCATTCGGTATCTGTGAGGGCATATTTTGAGGCTTCGGGTCTACCGCATAGCATCTTACAAGCATCCTTCAGGTCAAGTGCACGATCGAGCATCTCGTAAGTTGAATTCCATCTTGTCTTTACATCCAAGATTAGTGATTTATCGTTGTTGTCCAACTCTTCCGATGAATATGAGCCAAATTTTTCGGGGTCCGCTGCTTTCATCATGGATATGAATGTTTCCTTTCGCTGGGGACTAGAGCGGACATGAGTTGCCATGCCGTGGATTCGAGAAATTACACTACTCAGACTGATGCCTGCTCCATCTGCAGCATTGACCAAGTTGTTGATCCTCATGTTAGGGTGCTGGAGGGATATAACCTGCTCGGGTTCATCGTTGGGTAGTCCTCCAAAAACCTGCAAACCATCCTTTGCCGCCAGATTGATCACGTGAGCCATACATCCAAGGAGCTGTTTCGAGGCCTTGAAGGCACAAGTTTTCCGCTGTACCGTAGATGCCAATGTATTATTGTTGGAAGCATTGTCGGTAGTGATGCTTGTAAGCGAAGATACCAGATTATGTGAGGAAAGGGTATCATAAAATAATGTCCCTAAGTTTTCCCCAGTGTGGGGACCTTGATGGAAGAGATGGAAGAAAGTGGTCAGGAACCAGAGTTTGAAGTTCAATTGCAAATTAAAAACAACCCAGCTTACCGTGGATAGAAGGCATAGCCACTACAACATCCAACATTTTCCAATCCGGTAAGATTCCGTGTGCCGTTATAGCCATGAAAGCTTGGTTGTTTGGAGAAGTCCACGCATCCAGGGTGTAACCAAGGTAAGGTATTTGAGCGAGCGTCTCCTTGAGGTAGTGAAGGTGCGCTGTGTACAAGCGATGTACTTTGGATGCGATTGTTTTTCGGCCAACAAGCATTCCTGGTACTTGCGGATTTGCAAGTTCCATCAGATTGATGAAAGATTTCTTTTCCACAAAGGCAAAAGGAAGGTCTGCTTCGGCAATAAGATATGCAACAGCCTTTTTCAGGTTGGAAGCAGTTAGCTCTGGCTAGAATACACTCCAAAAAATGTCAGGCACATGATACACCAATCAATCAATGTGATACATGGAAAACTTACTCTATCCTCCACACGCTGTCGCTTGTTCTTGCCAGCTTCCACCTTTTTGGGATCCTCTATTTGGTGTATTCGACTGAGGTGTTCGATCATGGACTTTGTAGAGCGAGTCTTGTCTCGGGTTAGATGTTTTTCACAAGGGGTTCCATCTGTCAAAGGAGCAGTGCATAAGACCAGCGGTGGGCCGCTACGCTACGCTACGCTTTTGGCCCAAAAAGCGTAGCGTAGCGGCGCTTTTTTTGCGCCAAAAATTCGTAGTGTTAGCGCTTTTGTAGCGCATTTTCGCTACGCTTCGCTGCGCTACAGCGCTTTTAGCGGAAAAAGCGGCTAAAAACCGCTAAAAACCGCTGTAGCGCAGCGTAGTGGGCCCTTTTTTGCGGCCCACACGCGTAGCGTTAGCGGTGTCGTGGCGGAATCCGCTACGCTACGCTTAACGCTAACGGGAAATCCGCTACGTTACGCTACACTAACCGCTACGGTTAGTGTAGCGGCCCACCGTTGATAAGACCTTGTTTTCTGGCTGGGGAACGAAGTAAGTCCAGACCCAGCTCTTGGGTTTTGTTTGGGTTTTGGATGCAGTTGCAGTTGCCAGAGTAGAGGATGGAGTGGATGGAGTCTGAGACTGTTCTAAAAGATCATCTTCAGAAGTCGAGTTCATTGTATTGGTTTATTAATAAGATTGTAGGTGAAAACAAGATGTGGTAGCAGGAATAGTTGGTTGTTGGGTTCAAATCAGGTGAGTTGGTATTCTGATCAAATCAACACTGACCCATGGTACAATATATATGAGTCGGCCATCAATGGTGAGTGTACTCATGACTCGGAATATGTGACCATGGCTCATCAAGCTCTGATCTTCAAAACAAAGAAAAATAATCCTTGGAAGTTGCAGCAATGGTGACAAGTGTTATCATTGCCGTCACTGGAATCAGGATTGTAATTTTGTAACAACATTCTTTTGAGATTACACCCAAATCACAGGAAGTCTGAGAAACTGAGGATACCCGGTTACTCGACCCGATCCCTGCGGTTATGTAGTCGGGCTGGACCCTGCGGGAATCCTGAAGCCGGTCATACCAGCGGGAAAGGTTGCGGGAGAGCCCCCGAGGCCAAAATTACCCGCGGGTTCCAGCCCTACACCACGGGTGCACCCAGGCGTCTTGAAAACGCCTGGGTTGACCGCCTTGAAGGCGTTTCAAACCAATTGAATAGGAGACGCCTTCAAGGCGCCCAGACGTTTTCGCCTTGAAGGCGACTTGGAGTCGGCTAGGCAAACGCTCTCAACGCGAATCAAAGTCGCCTCCAAACTGACTTGGGAACGTTCAACAGGTGGAAGTCGTTTTGGAGGCGACTTGAAAAACCACCCAAGACGGCTTGTGACCGGCTTCAAAGCTGTCTGCAAACCGACTTGGAAACGTTCCCGCCATGATGGACGACTTCAGGTCGTTTTTGAAATGAAACTGCAACCTCACTTGTCTTGCACTCTGGGCGGTCGGCTTTCTTGTCGGGCCTTAATTCATACTGAATCTGCCTGGATTGGCACCATTGTGGCCAGGTTGAATCAAGCAGGCAGTAGAATTCCATTTAAAGGCTAATCAAGACAACATTTTGATAAATGATTTGAAGTAATAAGTGAAGAAAAAGTAACAAGCGATCACAACACAACTTGACCGCGATAAGAAAAGATCGAGCAATGAACCATAAGCAAAAAAAGAAATGAAGCTAGATGAAACCCCCTCCTTTACAGCAGGACAAAGTGAAAACAGACCAGACAAGAGAACCATGTTAAGTAATGAGCAATAAAGAAAACATTCAGAGACAACGAACAAACATACCGAGTGAAAACTGATTGATGAGGAAAAAA